CAGCCCCGTGTCCCAGCCCCGTGTCCCAGCCCCATAGCCAAGCCCCAGGTCCCAGCCCCGTGTCCCAGGCAGGTCACAGCCCTGAGGCCCAGGCAGGTCCCAGCCCCGTGTCCCAGGCAGGTCACAGCCCTCCTGGGGGTGGTCCCTTGCTCCAGAGCCAGGCAGCATCCTTCCTCCATGAGCACCTGCTCTTCGACCTGCTGCTGTCAGGGGAGGGGCCTGGTCAGGTGAGCCCCACCCCCGCCCAACCTTCATTTCTCGGCCTCGGATCCTCTTCCTCTGCTCAGGGCCTGAAGGCACCTTTTCCAGGAAGTTCCCTGGTGGGACACTGGCCACCTGGTCCTCACCAGCAGGGCCTCCATGCCGTGGGAGCCGGTGCCTGCTGGCGTGTCCCCTGGAGGCTGCGGGCAGTGCGCACACAGGCAGGCAGAGCCTGGTGTGAGGCCCGTAGACCTTTGTCCTTCCCTTGACCTCCCTCCCTCCCTCCCTGTGAAGGCCCCGTCCTAGCACTCAGCTGCCAGGGCTCTGCCTCTCCATCTCAGAGCTGCTGAGACACAGGGTTCCTCAGAGGGGCTTCCTGACCTCAGCCTGGGGGTGGGGGAGGGAGGGGAGCCTCCCCCGGGGCCCTCCCCCTCCCCCAGAGCCTCCCTGCAGCCTCCCCACTTCCATCCTCTCCCTGGGCTGCTGCCCCCGGGTTCCTCAGGGTCAGGGTCCCTGGGCTCCCTCTCTCCCACCAGCTAGTGCTGCCCACACGCAGGCCCCTCATTCCCGGGGACACCCAGAGCCGGGGCAGCGCCTGGGGAGGGACTGCCGGGACATAGCTGTGGACCAGCCCAGGAACCGGGGACCCCCTGCCTGCTCCACTGCCCACGCTCTGGGAGGCAGGCTCTTGCCTCTGCCTGTGGGTGAGGAGCCGCTCGCTGACCCACCCGAGGCGCCAGGCATGGATTCCTCTCGTGGGGACTGAAGGGCGACGCCGCCCGGTGAGCCGCAGACGTGGCTGCTCCGTGATGAGCCCTGAAAGCCCTGCGGTCACCGGCCAGGGCGCGTTTGCAAAGTTTCGGCATCTGACTTGGTTACTATGGCGAGGACTCAAAGCCTTTCCAATGTCCAAGCTCCTTTTCAGAGGCCGTCGGCCCCCTGAGGTCGGTGGGGGTCGGTGACCAGCGAGGGCTGTGGCTGATGGACAAGCGGATGGGCCCGTAGGAAATCTCTCTCCTCCCGTGTGTCTGTGGCGTGCGGCCCACGCAGGGGCTTGGGACTTGGGACTTGCTGACCGTGACCTGCAGAAGCGCAGGAGGCTGTTAGCTGCGCGTTCCTTCTGAGCTGCGTTCCTGGGCGGGGGCGGGGGTGCGCAGCGCCCTAAGGCTTCGGGGACATTGCACGGGAAGTCCTTTCCGTGTTGCTGCCGATCGACAGGAAATAAGGCGTGGTGGCCAAACTAAAGCGGGAAAAGCAGCCAAGCCCGCCACCCCCTGGGGGCTCCGTTTCTGCCGCGCTCACGGCCACTCCTGGGACAGCCATCCAGCTCTCCGCGTGGACAGGGGAGCCCTGAGAGGAGGGAGGGGCCACTGGTCTGCTCCGGTTTCTTGTTGCTGCATCTTCTAAGTTGCTCCTGAATTTATTACGTCTCTAGTCACGGGTTAGGGACCTGCCCCTCCCGCGGTGGCCTGGGGCTGGCATCCTGGGTGGAGATCGCTCCCGTATTTAGTAATTTCATGTGGCCGTGTCTGCTGTTCCTCCTCATTGGCGTTAACAAGGGCGGGAATGTACACGGAGACTTACTGAAACCGACCGTCTTTGAGCTGCTCTTATTCCACAGGCTGGGCCCCCTCTTCCCTGCGGGCTGCCCTGGCCTTGGCCCTGGCCCGGGCCTGCTGAGAGCTCAGGGCCGGGAGGACCGGGAGGGGATGACTCCCTGGACACCAGGCAGGCCTCTGGAGGTTTCGGCTGTGCATGGCGTTCTCACACCACGTGGTGTCCTTCAGAGGGAGAGCTGGCGTGGCCCAGGGCAGCGGGCCAGGGGCGGGGCCCACTGCGGCTGCAGCGCATGGGAAGGCCCTGGGTGCGTAGATGATGGACGTAATGAACCCTAATCCCCTCAGGAAGTCCCGACACCTGGCCCTCGGAGAGCTTGGCCCGGGTTCCGAGTCTGATGCTGGCTCTGTGTCCTTGGGCTGTAGGGGTGACACGTGGCAGCCACACCCCACAGCAAGGCTGTGCACCCTGCAGCGAGGTAGGGCACCCCACAGAGAAGTGGCATGCCCCACAGTGAGGCATCTACACCCCACAGTGAGCACACCCCACTGGGAGTCATCTGCACCCCACACCCCACAGTGAGGCAGGGCACCCCACAGTGAGACAGAGCGAGACAGCTCACCCCACAATGAGACAGCGCACCCCACAGTGAGACAGCCCACCCCACAGTGAGACAGCGTACCCCACAGTGAAGCAGACCAGGAGCTCACTGGGCACAGGCAGAGGACCCCTCCTCAGGGCACAACTGTCAGAAGCTTTCCCTGCCGCCTGCTTAGTCACCCCTTTAAATGTGGAGACGGACCAAACCACAGGTGCTGCTTCCCCCCGCTGCAGCCCCGCAGAGGGTCTGTGTGTTTATAAGAATGACCCCTAATTTTGGATAACATTTTCCTTGTTTGCAAAAGACAGCACGGCCGCTTCCGGGAGTCCAGCTTTTCTCATGGCCGAGTTTCGCCTGGAGGGACTGTGTGTGCCAGTGGGCACCTTCGTGTGACAGAGCCCATAGCTCCCTGAGCAGGTCACGCCCCGTGGCCCTGGGGGGGTGAGGGGGGGGATGCGGGCCAGGGCCCCGCCAAAGCCACCCTTTCCTTTACGGCGAGGTCACATGGCCACATGCTTCAGACTCATCATCAGACGCAGTGTGGGCGAGTCAAACAAAAGCAAATGCCCCCGCGTTTAAAAATAGCCTTGAAAGACTAAATATTTGCACTTAAAAAGGAAAAGAAAATAACAGAAACCTCTGTGGCCGCCATTCCTTGCAGAAATCCTCGCTCGGTTAGAATCGGGCCCTCTCCACGCTGTAACCGGACGGCGGTCTCACGCCTGCCAGGGGCCCTGCCTCCAGCGCACACTTCTTCTTCGCGGTCAGATTTATCTCATATGTGTAGCCTACACGTGATGGGGGCATCGCACAGTCTTTAAGGGAATCTCGGGGACGCTGACGTGTGTTTAATTTATATGTGGTGTGGCATGTGTGTGGCGATGATGCTGATCTGTGGCGTTATACAACCTGAGCGTCCACCAGCGCTCGGTGGCACTTATAAATCTGTCACGTGGATCTGCCAGGCTCGGGG